AGTACAAAAGCTTGGAAGACTAAAACTCTGGTCCTGGTGATCAACTTAGTTTGGATCCTAAGTGCTATTGCTATTAAAAGTCACTAAGATATTTTACTCAAAAACATAGAAAAGTGCCATGCTAAGGGGCTTGTTTAGATGGAGAAAAGAACTGAGTTTTAGAGATGTATTCCAAAGTTGAAGAATTTGATTTAGTTTATCTTCTAATAATTCCACAATATCGTATACCATTAACAATGTCCATCATGGATAAATAAATTGAATCATGTTACCCCTTCTTTCTGATAGTGAATACTGGACAATTGAAAGGATGGTGTTGGCCACTGCTGTTCTGCACTGATGTAATATGTTAAGAACTCAGTTGTTCAGTTCCTATTTCTAAAACCTTGCAGAGCACATTAGTTTACTACAGCTTTCTCTTCTTTGTCTCTTAAGTCCCTCTGCACTTACCACTGTACAAATGTGCAGCTTAAACGTTCTGCAAAAAAGCAAATTCAAATACTGCATTAAAATGTTTCTGCATGTTTACCCAACAAATGTGAATGCTTGGATGAATTGAATGAAATACAGGAACGATCCTTAGGTAGTTCTTGAGTTGTGAAAGCTACAACTGCTTACATGCTTATTTATAGATCAATATGCAAAAGGTCTATATAACCCAGATGTATATAAAATCCCATGTACTGTCTGAAAATTTGCAGCTTTTTTGTTACTGAACATGTATGTACCCTGGTGGGTTTTTTTCCATTTTTTTTAATACTGTACGTTGCCCAGAATCTTTCCAGACTGGAGCAGGTTATAAATACTATGAAAATACATGGATCATATATGTAAAGCTAGTCCCCGACTTACAACCAGTCACCTAACAACTGTTCAAAGTTATGAGAGGCCTCACCAGAACTACTGACAACTCAGTTCTGGAGTTCCAAAAACCATTCCTCCCCTCCCAAGTCATATGATCATATTTTGGGTGCTCTATGTTTTTTGCCAAGAACCGGCATTTCTAGTTTCCATTGGGTACAATGAGTTTGTTAATAACCACATTTGCTTAACCGCTGCAAAAGACATAAAATCAGGCACGGTCACATGGTGGCCTACTTACCGTAGCCTGACTTATGACCATAATTCTGAACTCAATTACGATCATAAATTGAGAACTTCTTGTAAAAAATAGAAATATAAACAAATTCCTAAAGTTTTAACTCTTAGATTTCTTATATTCTTTCTAGCTGAAGATTGGAAGAAGCTATGTACATCTCCCCCCCCCCCAGTTATGCAGAGAAGTGGAACCTAGTTGTCTCTTGTCCATAATCACTTCACACAGATTTCAATGAATTTATCCTCTAGATTGTGTATTTAGTATGGAAAAGGGAAAGGCACCAGTTATTTTTCACTTTATCCCTCAGGAATAATTCCGTCTTGCATAATTTATTTCTCAAGTAATATCAGTCTCCAAGCCCTTTTTCAAAAACTGAGAGTAGATTTATAAATGCTTGCCCACAGAATCATCTCAAAGCTCCTGTCATTTTAACTGTTGAATTTTAAAAGCTGATTCACAGTTAAGAGTGACAGACTAGAACAAAGGGGAACATTCCAGTGCAACCAAAGCAGATATTAGAAAACAATTAAGTCTTAACTGATTTTGAGATGCCCTTTTTATTAAGGCAGGACTTACACACTGAGCTAAGCATTTGTTTTATTTTTATTAGGAAATAAAAACTTCAGAAGAGCATATTTAAGAGAAAATCTCTAATAATTTATTGACCTTCAGTTTCACATTGTGAAAAAAATGCAGTTTTACAAAACCTCAAAAACGTAGTAGCATACAAAGAAACACATAGACATTTTACTTCACTTATTTTTGTACGTGAACCGCATCTTCAGTTGCCAGACAAGGGACACTATTCAGTTCTAATCACTCTTATTCAGACAGGTGTCAGGCCTAAAGAAAAGGGGCTACACAATTATACCAGAAGTGGTAGGTTGTCCTTTGTTTAATGTTTCCACAGCAACTGGCCCACAAAATACGAAGAACTTTCTCGTCTTATGCCAAGGTTTTTGTGTGCACTCTTATGTGAACCGCATTTGTCTCAGAAGTGTGGGCTATTTTTTCAGACTGGAAATCACCAAGTAGTGAATCAAGATTCCCATGCTGATTCAAAGACTAAGAGCTCAAAATATTCGCCTGCAGAGCTAGAGAGGCCACCCTGATTTTCCGTTCCCTTCTGCCTATACCCATGAAGTAAATCCAAGCCCTTGAAAGCAGCTACTGCTTTGAAATGCAACTGCAAAAACTTCAGACACTTTTAGGAAATTGGATGGTATTACAGAACAGGTTTGCCGTATAAACTTAATAATTCCATGGAGAAGTGCACACACAGAATTCTGTCATTTCTATGTTTTCACCCTACTACACATACACGCAAAAATAGCCATTACTTCCTGTATAAAGTGAATGCAAAAGTACTCACAGTGCTAGGCACTTACAATTGCTTTATTTGCATGTATGTTATAGGAGCAACAATATCTCCAATCCTAATGCAAGTTAAGAGATATTTGGAAAGAATTTGTAGGCAGGGCTTTATACGAAATGCATTGAATTGATTATTGTAGCTTTGTAAATTAAATGGTAATAGCTTTTTTCTAGATTTTCCAATTTGCCTTGCAAAACTACCAAGCAATACCATCAAGCCCTTCTAGGATATCAACAAACAATAATAAATCATAACCTTATCCTTCCTTAAGTTAATGCAGCTGTACTCTGTGCATTAGCTTGCACAGTGGTGTACAGGTTGTCAAACACCTCAGTGAAATGAATATTAATATAATTTCACCCTTGGATATTTAAATCAGAGTTCAGAAGCAGAGTTATCCTTAAATGAAGGCAACTGACCAATATTTTTTGGTCAGATTGACCAAAGAAATCAGACTTCAGTCAATAATGTATAAATCAATAGAAGTTCACAATACAATGTTTATGTGTTTTATAATTCAGACTTTCTTCAATCCTCTCTGCTACCCATGCTAAGAATCACAATTAACAATTTGAAAAACTTCACGTACATTCATTTCTTACTTAAGATAATACATAAGAAATGCGTATATATTAAGAATCAGGAAAAAACCCTATGGCAACATGAGAAAGCTCTCTAAAGCCGATGGTTACAATCTGAAACATGTTTACTGGAGAGTAAGCCCAAGTTAAGACACTAAAACTTACTTCTGAGTAAACACATATAGGATTATGCCATGAACAAAAATTGTTCTTTACAGTAAACTGTCAGAATTGAGCTACATTATCAAAATGTAAGCAGACGTGATCATAACTCTTTATAAGCATGCATGCATGCATTTCAAAATAATTTGCTTACATAACATTAAGACAACCAACCACAATGGAGGACTGGTAGCAGTGTTGTTGTTTGGCTGTACCAATTCTTATGAAAAGCACAGCTAGAAAGTTAAACAAAGGAACTATGGGCTAAGTACACCAGGAAAGACTGAACAGGTTTACTTCTACATTCAAGCCAAAAAATAAGTTGGTGGTGTAGGACATTTAAAAATCCTTTAATTGATCGGGACCCTACATATAATACTTCCAGCTACTGTTCCTCTGAAAGCTCAATTTGCTAATTAATGCAAAACAATATATTCAATGAATTTAGCAACTCCCTGCTCCCCCATTGAGCATCCTAATTATTATACCTAATAATATAGATATAATATTATATCAAAAAACAGATGGAGGAAGAATGGGTCTTAATTCCATTTTAATCCAAGAAGATAAACCAAGAGAATTGGTGTTAATTTAACCAGAAACTAACTCTTTCCCCCTAGGGTTTCCCATCTCTTAAAGAGAATAAAGTTCCCCTGGTCATATAAATGGCACATTAAACATCCCATGAGCTATAAATAAATAAATAAAAACAAAACAAAACTGGACATCGCTTATTGGAGAGAGAAAAAAGGTTCTATAGAATTTCCCTCCAGTCCCCTTTCCAGTAGTGATGAGGCTGCACAAAAAGAAAGCTACAAAAGCTATTGTCTCTCTCTTTCTAGATATTTTCATTCAAAAGGCATGACTAGGCAAAAAAAAAATGTAACAGAAATACTATCAGCGGGCACAAATGTGATTTAGGGAGTCAATGGCTTGAGAAAACAACCTCATGGCTTCGTCCTTCAGTACATATGCAATTTAAAATGCTACCTTGCAATAGTTCCATTCTGACCCCTACCCAACTCTCTTCTCAAATATTATTCAGCTTTTTTTTTGTGCAGCGGAGCAAGTCAGAAATCACAGAATGTGCAAAACGTAAGAGTCCCATAAGCCCTTATACTTGAAAATTATTCCAGGCTTTGTTTCAGCATGCAAGCACTGAACAATAAATAGCTGTATCTACAACAAGTAACAATTTAGAAGCAGGACAGTCATAATTAATAAATACAAGAAGAAATAAATTGCATGTATTTAGGAAAGAGGAGTCATTCTCTTTCACATAAGATGCTGGGGGAAAAATATTGTTTTTTTAATAATCGAGCTGCTGCTCCCTAAGAAAGTAATTCAGAGCCACAGTGCAGCTGACCGATTGAATCCGATGCTCCTGGCACTGCCTAGGCCAGGGGGCTGAGGAATTCTGGGAGCTGAAGTCCACAAGTCTTAAAGTTGTGAAGGTTGCAGACCCCTGGCCTAAGACAAAGCCCATCCCCCTGGGCAGAGCTGGATCTTCATTCACAAAGAGATACATCTTGCTGAGCCAGGCCTTGTCCGCTTCCTTTGCAGCTGCTGTTGACACTTCAAATTGTCACAAAGGGAGGTGACAACCATTTCAAATTTTGCACACAAAAAAAGCAAAGTCCACGAAAATTGAGGGTTGTGCTGTGTTATCCAGCTCTGAAAAGTTCATCCCCCCCTTACGTCTCCCCCTTGAAAGGATTATTAAACTTGACATTAATCCACAATTACTAACACATGGACCAGACCATGAGTTCATTCATTCATAATTAAACCATGTGCTGATATACCAAAAACAATATTCCCCCTCCCATTCCTTCATTTCCAACTTTTAAGAATTTGGAAGGTGCAGAGTATCTTCTTCAAATTCAAAAAAGAAATGTCTTCATCAAAACCACTTCTCCACAGTTGGTTCCAAGGTTTATTCAGCATTATAATGCAATAAACTAAAGAAAAGAAACAGAAACATTGTAAACATTTTGGTGGAATAATACAAAGTTTACACATGTTTTAAAGGTCTATGAAGCAGATGCCTGTTCATTACATATCTTAAATATTAGATGCTGTAACCTCACTGATCATGTTTTATTCCTCTACAATATAAGTAGCAACTCTGGTTTAATAACATTAATAACCTGGAGGACAGAGAAAGAACAGTGCTTGAACGTAATAAATCAATCCTGCAAATGAAGAGAGAGTTGATTGTTAAGGGGAAAAAATAATGTAATGCAACATCTCTGTCATAACGTTGGCTGGCACAGTAGCAGGAACAGGCACTCTGGTCATGGGCCAAATCCAAGCAGCCAAAGAAACAGAAGGAAAGGCAGCTTGTTGGAGAAAAGAATCACCAATCAATGCCCTATTAACCATGGAGGATCCTGAATAGAACTGATTCAGAATATAAAAGGCAGACATATTAATCCCCTTATTTAAAACATTTCTGCTATTCATTATGGCAGAACTCTCTTTTGTGGGGCTTTGTTCTGTAATAATGCAGTACGCTTCGCTGCCTCCCCATAGAAGCCTTCCCTATATGTCAATTATTCAATGCAAAATATTAGCTTTGGATGCCAGGGTTTGGCTTCTGTACTCCACCTTCTCACTCTATTATGCTCAGAGCCAGTTTTCAAACCAGGCACCATGCTGGTTTTTAAAGTAGCAATTAATAGCAATGCCAGAACACATGACGCAAAGTTTGATGGGATTTCCGCAGTGCAATTGTAAAAATTTGCTGCTTAACTTGGTGCAACTGATTTGAAGGTGCATGTGCTTCATAGCTTAAAAGCACTGGGCAGCATCACAGGTGTGTATGTGCAATTTACAAAATAACATACACATAATTTGCAAATCTCTTGCATATTAAAAACTAAACCACTTTCACTGAAGGACAATCAATTACATACTCCTGAGATGAATATAAGCATATTATATTTTATCCTGCAAAGCAGCTTTATGATTTTTTCCCAAATCTAAAATGGAAATGAGGCCTTTCTTTTAATAAAAAGTAACTTATTTTATTTTATGATTTTGAATTCATGCACCTAGTAGAAACAATACTACCACCTTATAACAACCTTTCTTATTTAGGACTTTCCAGGACAACACACGGCAATTGTAGACAGCTGCCTTATAAGTTGTTAGATAAATAAAAGAATCTGTGTCAAACTTTAATATATAAAACATTAAATATTAGCACTGATGGAAGGAAAATTGATTAGATAATAAAGAGTTTCATGTACTTTGCTGTTTATTAGAAGGACAAAACTATTTCTCTGGAAATGTACCTAAATCCACTCTAGACCAAAAGAACTGAACAAATGCCTTGATGTCTGTGGTTCAAGCTTTGACTGAGAAAAACATTTCACAGGTTTAGAGAGTAAAAATATGCAACACAGCTATTCTTTAGAATTAAGGTTGCAGTTCTGCAATTATACTGATACAGGTATTTGCATTTTGATGGACCAATTTACAATATCCTACATGGGCCTCCTCATTGTTTTCTCCTTTACAAAAAAAAACCTGTTCTGATTTTGTTTCAAGTGCTACTTAGTTTTTTTTAATCTTGACACTAAAAGTTCAACTTCACAAGAAAAGACTAATGCCAAGAAAATATTTACAACTGCATTTATGGATACATTACAAAACTTCTAGATGACTGGATAAATTATAGGTCTATTTAAACTGCAGCCCCTGAAATATTTATACCGGAGCATATATACTGCTAGTTAATATGTGGTTTGAAGGTTTGAAGTCCTTTCAGCTTTTTTTTCCTCCAAGCACAATTAGCAATGAATACAAAATGGGCTGCATGCATTCTAGCAAAGCAAAATTTGCATCTGAGCCCAGCATGCTAACTCAGAAACATGCCCTGCTGAACTTAATGGTTCCTCCTTTCCTTACTAAAGGCCATAATCTTTTGCAATTCTGCAAGAATAAAAAAGAGATAAAAGGCAGGCTTATCTTACAGAAATAGCTGGTCTTTTTTTTTTTTAAAAAAAAGAATGTATTGCAAGGAAGGTTTGCTGGCATTTTCAAATTTTAAAATCAGAAGGCAAATCAATAACAATAATAAAAACAGAAATGTAGAAAAAAGGAAGAAATACAGGTATCTGCATGAGCTAGTTTAAATTGTTTATAAGCAGATACCATTGCATTAAAATCACCAGCACTGCACCTGCCCACATCAGGTGCATATCTGGACCACTACATTACTTTCAGATTGAATTTATGGGCTTTGAAACATCCCAAGTTGCTAACCAATTATTACTTAAGCTAACTGGCATGTCTTTTAAACAGAGGGACAGAATGATTCACCCTCACACACAAGAATTCACTTTTCTAACTCCACCCCACCCTGGGGAAACAGATTCTTATTGCTTCAGTTATTAATAGTCCTGATTCCATAAAGTCCAAAATATACAATCTTATAATATTTCATATAGTGTCCTTTCAAAAGATAGGCAGGCAGTTTATATTGTTGCCCATATGCACATCAGAACCAGCAATTATTTGCTTGTGCCAATCATTTATTTATACACATCCACACAGTATATACTGTGTGTGTGTGTGTGTGTGTGTGTGTGTGTGTGTGTGTAATCAGTTCCTCTAATCACTCTTACATTAATTATACTAATCTTTTATTTCCATTTAAATGGTAAAGTGTGGATATTACAACAGTCTTAAAAGAATGAAACATTCTATTAGAAAAAAAAAATGCGAGAAAACTATAATTTTAACTAAATTTTCTCCTAGATGGCATTTTCTCAAAATCATTTGAAAATGGGGGGAAAAGAAATATGTCTATGTGAACAACCCATAATAAATATGCCTATGAATTAAATAATCATGGATACAGAAATTACTAATAGGGATAGTTGTGCATGACCAATTCATGCACTATTTAACTGGCAGTAACTGGGAAAATTCTTATATATGAACAAAGTATCCTATGAAATAGATCTTATATTTATTCATGCACTGGTTGAGTCATACCAGCTTTTTCGCTTCCTGCTTATTCAAATGAATCTCTGAGGTTTATATTTGTAAAAAAGTGAACTTAGCCATTATATTTTCAATAAACAATTTCTCACCTGTATAGGCACACATGCAGTTAGGAAGGGAGATGTTTCCATGTGCTCACAAATGCAGTTGGGATTAGTGAATAGGGCACTGTGGTTATGCTGTTCCACATATCAAGCGTGGGGTCATAACAATCTAATGTTTTGCATCTCTGGATTCCAAAGTAGCCTCCCACAACATATAATTTGTTTCCAGATGCAACAGCATGGCAACTCATTCTCTTAGCTGTCACATCTCCCACTTTAGTCCACTGATAGGTTTCACTGTTGAATTTATAAGCTGAGCAAGCAGAGAATTCAGTATCTCCACCCATAATAAAAATTTGGTTACCCAGAACAGCTGCAGCTGTGTATCGCCATGGCTGAGGACAAGTGGCTGGTACAGTCCACCTGTTTTCACTCAGGTCGTAACATTGTACTTTTGGAAGCTTATCATGACTGACACTGGTACCACCAAAAGCAAAGAGTTTTAACTTTGCACTGACTACAGCAGCATTGCTTACTCCTTCTCGAAGTGGGGCAACCATTGTCCATTTGTTAGTCACAGGATCATACTGTTCTACTTGCTTTAAGGATACTGAAGGAGAGGCTGGAAGACAACCTGTGGCTGCTGTGTGACCTCCTACAACATATAGACAGTGTTTGAGTTCAGCAGAACCATGGCCAAACCGAGCAACTAGCATTGGAGCTGCTTTGGACCATTCTTCATGAAGTGTATCATATACCCAAACATCTTTAGAGACTCCATTTTCAGATCCTCGACCACCAGTAATATAGACTTTACAGCCAATTGCGCATGCACTGAATTCCTTCCTTGGACTTGGGATGTCAGCTTTTGGAATGATCTCCTTTGCTTTTTGGTCGACAAGATATAATTTGTCACACATAAAAGTCTGGCCTCCCAGAAGAAATAAGGCATGCCCAGTTTTTCGAGGCCTAGCACATAAACTAGTGACTACACCATCATTCTGCAGAATCTTCAATTTGCATCTGATTGCTTCTTCTACAATCTCTTTACTTTTTCTTTGCTTGGTGATAAGCTCTTCAGTAGCTACATTTTCCATTAGATAGATGGCTGGCAAAAGAGCCAATCTCACAGTCTGCAATAATTCTGGCAGATAACAGTGGCGTTTATGTAGATCATAGTTAATCCAGTTCATGGCAGATTCATAAACTAATCGTTCATCTTCAGTCTCTAATTCTTCACTAGAGAGCAGCTGAACAACCGTATCTTTTGGAAGCTGGAGAAAATCTTCACTTTTACTGATAGTCTGGAAGTTGCTAAGGCACATCCTCCAAGAAAGCTCATAAAGTTTGGTACACTGGTGAGCATCAGACAGAAGCAACATGCCAAGACAATTAGTATGATGAAGGTTCTTCTCTAAGAATTCTGCACAAGCATCTCTAATGTCTTGGAATTCTAACATATCACCTGCCTCCAAAAGGGATTCTGCATTTTCTTCATTGATGATGACCCTTGAAGAGTACGCATAGTCCAGGAGAAGTTCTAGAACCTCTGGATGGATGGAATTGTGGAAGTTGACTTCACTGGCTTGGCTTTCTTTAAGACCACCACTGAACATGGCTTCAAAATATCGACTACAGGCAGCTAGGACAGCTCTATGGCAAGGGAATGACTTGTTCCCAGCATGGAGAAGTACATCTGTAAATAAACGCTGTTGACGCAGAAGATTCAGATGAGTGAGGACACTATCAGCATACGAAGATTTGTGAAATAAATATATGTTTATAGAGCCAGTGCTGGCTCTAGACTTCCGATTCTCATGCATGCTGACTGACATTTTCTTCCACACCTAAATATTAAAAAAAATAAATTGATTAAGAAGTCTCAAAATACAATATGAAATGTTTTAAAAATAACAATTACCTATACATATCTACTCAGAAGTCTATCTACTGACTACAGAGTTTATTTCCAAGAACCAAGACTTTTTTTTAAAGCAACTAGCAGCAAAACATGCAAAGCACAGGAATATGCTAAGCAACATCAAACAGGAGTTGAGGACAACCAATCCTTTGCCTGTTTTTCCCAATATATATTTCTTAACTGGCATAGTCTAAAAATAATTGCTCAAGACAGCAGGATTATCTTGGCAAACCAGACCTCCCACTTTCGTAACGTAAGTGGCAGTTTCAGAATGAGTGGAAAAAAAAAAGACAGGCCTGAATTTTTTCCCACACCTTTTCAGCATACAGCAGCTGATTTAATAATTATGTACTGACACACATATTTAAAAACGTGCTTCTGCCTTGAATCATAGTGTAGGACAAGCAACAAAGACGTTACAGTCAGGAATACTTCAAGGAACACAAGCATCCACAAATTAACCTTATTAAGATTATATCCTGATAAAACCAATTCCACCCATACCATGAAAATATGTAAAAAGTAAGACACAAATAGATCATTCCCAGTATATTTTACTTTAATTACTATAATGTTACCAGTAGATTTTTACCTCAAAGCTACATCTCTCTCCAGCAACAGATATTTTAAGATGGCACACATATGATTTAATTATATGCTGAGTTTTACTCAGCCTAGTACATTCCAGATTTCTTGAATCTTTATTCCCACCAATTTAACAAAGGGCCCAAATTATGAAAGGAACAAGGTGCTGACTGGAAAAACAAAAATCCTAAATAGGAATTTCCACCAATGCTAGAGGACGGGAAGAAAATCCCCAAAACTTCAATATGCAACGTGCTTACATCAACTAAACAAGATCAGAGTTTTCTCAAGGTAAAATCATTAGAATAAATTCAGTGGAAAACGGAATTTAAAAGCTACTACAAAGACGCCAGGGTCATAAGACACAATTTCTGAACTAATCCATCATGCTAAGCCACCACTGATAGTAACTGAATTCATATAACACACTAAAGGAAAAGGACACAACATTCTGGTTTGGAATGTTGTGTGAACATAGTCATTTTGCTGGAGCAAAATTTTAATTCTGTCAATGGAAACAGCCCTGAGCATTCTTAATACTCCTGCTGATATTGAGAAAATCTGCCAACATGTTCTTTACTTTCCAGCCATGTCATCCAAGAAGAACTGAGAATCAGCAAAAATCACCTTTCTATGCCCTTGCAGGCATGGTCATCTATCCTTCTCCCACATATTGAAGGAGCCATTCTATGTGTTCATAGATAAGACAATGGTTCAACCTATGACAAAAGACATGCAAATTGCAATTTCTTGTCTTATAAGTACAACTTCAAGAATGTTGCCCTAATTTGGAAAAACAGTTTCATAGGGAATGGCAAGCAGATGATCAGGGAGGACATCATGCTGTTGTCTCTGATGGAGAACTCTTTCATTCATAACAGAATCTGAAGTCCCTAGAGATATTCCAACCAGCTGCACAGGTCCAACCTGTTCAGGTGTCATAGAAACCACCACTGCCCATAGAAAAAGACTATCTCCACAACTGAGGAAGGAGTGAAGAAAGACAAAAATATAATCTGACATGACCTCCATAAAGCTTTCCCACAAGACTGCCTGTCACCAGACCAGAAAGAGTCAACAGAACCTAGCAAAAGGAAGCTGAACTACTCATTAAGCTGCTATTCAATGATGAGTCAGATATGACACCTGAGAGGACTTCCGTCAGGACTTAGAAATGGGTAACAGACTATAAGTTCAGGACAGAAAGCCTGTGCTCAATTCAATATAATGCTTCACTTCCCTCAGGGAAAAGATAAGCAAGTAAGGAAAGTGAGAATTCATGACCTATCCTTATGGTACCTATTATTCCTCAAAATTTTCCTGTTTAGTATTACTTTGTGACAGCAACCTTTGCTAGTATTTTGTCACTTGTAAAGGTGTTGCCACTACTAAGTATGTATAGAAATTTCTAAGAGAGAAGTTCTGCAGTTTGATTCTAATATTTATTCCAAACCACGTAATGCAAGTTGGACAAATAAGTTTTACTTTTTTATGGCCAGTATTTATCATTTTCATGTTTTTAACATATCAAATGTCCAGAGCTGCAGTTTGAGAGCTGGGCAGCCATAAAAGAAAAATCAAACTTTTGTATGAGGAGATATCTGTAACAATTAAGCATCAATTATTATACACACTATGATATACTTTGATAGCCAATTATTCTCATTTTTTTTATTTTTTGATCACTTAGTTACTACCATAAAGGATTTTTCTTTCTTTTTTTGCTAATTTTTTCCCTTTCGAAAATAATTCGTATTCTTGGAGGGAAACGTGGTTATTTCAACACCTGTTATATCTATTCAAAGAAATGGTTAAAATATAAACTACCCATCACTGGGGATGTTTGTTAATTTGTTAATTGAGGATCCCAAAATTGTAACTGTACTTCACACTGGAATGCAAAATGCACAAGACCACTAGATAGCAGCAAAGAAGTATTGTAGCTTTTTGTTGCCATCTAATGGTTACTACAGATTTCAACAGCACAGCTGTGATATGGCTATTTTATCCTGCTTAACATATAAATTAAACTCTTAAAATAATTTCCTATGAATTAAAAGATTCCTCTGACTAAGCTAGCTTTCACTAATCTGGCACCTTCTTTATATGTATAGACGGAAACACCTACAATTCCCCAATAGCATGGGAATGTACAATCCTAGGTCATTTATAGAGAAGAATCTCAATCACATGAATTGCTTAATTTCACCTCATTATGTTATTCCCATTTTTAAAAACAAAGTTAAAATACCTTTGAATAACCATCTCCCATACACACTTTCCAGGTAATTTTTTTGGGCAAACTATGAGATTATAGATGCTAATCCAAACATATTTTCTATTAGAAAAAGGCTGCAAATTCAGAAATATGTATCCCTAGGTGATTATCTATTTTATTGTTTGTATTCTTCTAATAACACTAGATGAAAATATATAGTTAGTTATGTATACCGGTAATTTCTTCCAAGATATGTATGTATGCTTCCTAATATGTGCTCAGGCATTTTTATCCTAAATGGCTCAAAATGGCTACTGCAATAACTATTGAAGACTTGACTGATTGTCTCCCATGTGGTTCTATGCTAATACCTTCTTTATGTAAGCTGCCTATTATTCAGGGTCCCTATTATTTCTGGGTCCCACGACCTATCAAATACAGTCCATTTTAAACTTTCTGCTATCACTGCAAACTGTCTTAAGTATGGACTACATGATCTGAATAACCATTTCCAGTGCTATAATTCTAAGCCATAAATAGTTCTACCAAGTTATTTACAACACTAAACAAACCATCAAATAAAGGCAATGCCATTCAGATTATCTTATAAAACTTAAAATTGTATATCTAGAATATACCAAAATTAACAGTTCAGCCATACACATGGTTTAAGTAAACCTCAAAGAGCTAGGTGGGATTTATTCACAGACAACATTACATAGAAAGCAAATTTTGTATAATGGTTAAGGCATCAGGCTAGAAACTGAGAGATTGTGAGTTCTAGTTCCAATTTAGGCATAAAGCCAACCGAGTGGCTTTGGGTTAGTCACTCTCCCAACCCTAGGAAGGAGGCAATGGCAAATTACTCCTGAAAAACATTTCCAAGGAAACTGCAGGTATTTGTCCAGGCAGTCTCTGAGAATTGGACACGATTAAACAGAAGGGAAAAAAGATACATAAGTATTGAAGTGTGAAATATTGCCTATTAAGAATTCATTGGAACAATTACAGAAGTAATGGATCCTGCTCTTAATATGTTTTTTCCCCACACATCCTAGATCAGAAGAAATGACTCTGTGAGACAAACTTTATCCTCAACCTATGTTTTAACTTCAACCTGTTTCCAACATTACTCTATCAAAAGATTTCCAACATTAATTATTAAATAGCAGAAGGCTATTGCTATCTATCATTACTTGTTCTTCAACATCTGGAATTCCAAACTATGTCATTAATGAATTTGGAATCTTTACTTTGTTCCCAAACCAAACTGATAGTGTGGTCAAGTCAATGGAAGTAATCAAAGGACTGATAATAACCATTATTTCTTTGTTCAAAGAGAGACATAAAAGCACATTACTGGAATGTTATCTTCCACTGTTCTGAATTTGGATAGCTCTTCTAAAAATTATTCAAGAACATGCACACGCAGGTGTAAGCACATTCAAGCCTGTCAATTTTATAGCTTTTATCTTAAAAATCTTTTAGCAGCTAATCCAGTATGTACACTGTATCTTTTTAATAATTTTCTGTTTTTCAATGCAGCAATATGCATTGAAACAGCCAGAGGAACAAATCTTTTACTTCCTTTGTGTAACTGCTCAGACTTCAAAAGAGCTATATGAGCGGTGGGCTCAGTTACTAAGCAAATACTGATAAGCCTATCATACTTTACCACACATATCATTCGGTAAAGAATCTGCTCTGCTTTTTACTTTGCTAATTTTGGTATGCAGTGATCTCCTTTCCATTACTATAATTAATGGCATTCTATTCACTAGAAACAGCTGGATGACCAATAGACCAATAGGGTTTTTTTAAAATAAGGAAAAAAAAAGAAAATTCCTATCTTCTGATAGCGTTAGTTTAGTTTTTATTCCATAACATTATACAGATGTAAACATCCTCTCCGAGTTTTATTTCTAAGCTGGTAAATTTAAGCTTCCATTTTTTTTTCAATGTTAGAAGAGACAGGAATCAATATTTGTTTAAAGGAAGAGTTTTCCATCAGGTTTCAACACATCTCGTTTTAAATTCTGAGGACCACATGGTGCTCGAGGCTAAAGCTCGAGATTTTGAACGGGCATAGCTCGGACCCCTCTTTTTTCCCC